TAAGAATACGTATATTTGTTTTTATAAATTTGAAAAGTTTTTTTTTTTATCACAAAACATAATAAAATCTCTTTAAAAAATTTGTTAAGTCTTTATTATAAATTTCGATAAAAATATATTTATATGAAAAAGTGTCCTAAAACTTTATTGTGACAAAAAATATTTTTTTAAACATTTTTTTAATAAAAACGTAATATTATTCAAAATTTCTTTTGATTTATTTATGGATCTAAATGTAAACATTGTTAAAGAAGATTTTATAAAAGATGTTGTTTAGATTCATACTTGCCATGTCATATTTTTTTAACCCATGTCATAATAAAATTGGTTAAAGAGTGATTCTTGTGGTGACACATAATCAAATTTGAGAAAGTCACTTCTCAATTAATGTATAAGAGATTTATTTTAGTTGGAGTTATTCTTATATATATCTCTCTATCATAATTAATATCCAATAAGAAAAAAACGAATTCTAGATATTAGTACTAAATCACGGTTGTTTTTTCACAAAATTACTAGTGGTTTGGTGGAGTTCTTGAAATAATAAAGTTAAAGGCTAAAATTCTAATTTAAACACTTTAGAAATGGTCCAGGTTTTAAATCATCGCGCCTCCAACTTAGGCACTACGGTTTTATTAAATGAAACATTTATACACATTTCATATGGTCTCATAATGTTGTTTAGGGTCCCAAAAAAGTGAAGCCAACTATTTAGTTAATTTAAAACAAAATTTAAATGGATTCCCAAACATTGCTTTAATTGATCAAGACTCAAACCCTCCCGTTCAACAAGAAGTCTCTTGTTCCTCTCTGTTTCATTTTCTCAGATTTATTCAGAAATTTGAGAATTGAACACAAAGGAGATGATATGGGAAACAACAACGCAACCGCAAGTTTAACAGGTTAAACAACAAAGCATTTTTGTTTTCTTTTCTTATTCTCTCTGAATATATGTCTACGTAATTGCAGAAGAAGAGAGCTCAAAGGTTGAAACCAATGGAAAGTCTCTATTGGATTCTGTTTCCGTAGAGACCACGCAAGATCAGCTGTTTCTTGCCAGTGAAGAAAAAGATGGAGATAAAGAGAAAGAGAGCTTGTCTGATGCTGTTACAGGTTTCTTGATAATGGTTTCATTTATTTCCATATATGTAAAATCATTTAGGTCACTTTTTGAATAATTTTTTGTTGTTGTTGGAAATATAGGTAAAGAGACTCCTGAAACAGAACCACAGAGCAAGGAGTTAGTTGAAGCTTCGGAAGCGAAAAATGTCGAAGAAGAGAAGCATCAGAGTGACTTGGAGAGCTTGGTAACGGAAACCTATGAGCAGTTTCAGAAACAGACATCAATTGGAGAAGGTTGATCTGACTTTTTCTCGCTTCTCTTCGTATTCGAACAGAAAACATTTATGCCTTTGTATTTTCTTAAATCTGTCTCTGTTCATTATCAGGTGTTGAAACTGTGTGTGAAGTCATTCAAGTGGAAGAGTTGTCTATGATTGGAACTCAAAGTGTTGTGAGCAAATTGAATACGACAGAGACTGGTAATGAAGAGAAGCCCTGTGTGATTGATGAGATTGTCTTGATATCTCCAAGCTTCTATGAAACTGAAATAAAGATGGTCAATGAGTCTCTGGAAGAAATTTCCTCTCCAGAGGAAGTTGTAAAGCTTGATCAAGAGACTGGTATGGAACAGAGAACAGGGTTTCCTGAGATCGAGCCACGGGAGGTTCTGAATTTGGAAATTCGTGTTGTTGATGATGATGATGAAGTTACAAATGAAGGAAAAGCCAATCTGGCGATCTCTAAACCTAGTTCTCACGAGTTAAACGCGATTCAAGAGACCGGTCTTGAAGTTTATAAGGAAGAGAAGGACACGGAATTAGGAAGAGAAGCGAGCCTGAAACGCATGTCTCGATGCAGATCGCTCCCAGTGAGTCAAAATAGTAGAGTTATAGGAGATTCTCTGGTTCAACAGTTGGTCTCAGAGGTTGTGTTTCCTTCAAGAAACAAGATTGGTATAGAGAAAGCCAACACGTCAGAGACTCTACTTCTTTCTTGCGTAGGAAGTAATAAAGAAGCCAGACTTGAGATGCGATCTCCTACCTTTGGAAATGACATAAGACACGAAGAAAGAAGCGATGAATCGATGGAGGAAACTCCGTTACTCTCTCAGGACAAGACTAAGACATGTGAGGCTCAGGCAACAATTGTTGTGGAAGAGAAGACTGTGATGTTGAATAGAAGTGAGACGGAGAAAACAAGAGGCATTGAATTGTCTCTAGGGTTATCTATGAAACCTAGTAGGCAATCTGAAGCAGATGACAGCTTCAACGAAACGAAGGGCTCAGTGGATAACTTGCTGGACAAGAAAGTTAATCCGTCTGAGACTCTGCTTCTTTCTTGCGTAGAAAGCAACAAAGCGCAAGTAACCACTGAAGCGATAACTGAAAGAAACAAAGAAGCCATACTAGAGATGCGATCTCCTAGCTTTGGTAATGACCTAAAAATCGAAGAAAGAAGCAATGAATCAACAGAGAAAACCCTGTTACTTTGTCAAGAAAAGACAGAAACATACGAGGCAACAATCAATGTGGAAAAGAAAACTGTGATGCTGAAGAGAAGTGAGTCAGAGAAAACAAGAGGCTTTGAGTTGTCTCGAGGGTTATCAATGAAACTCGGTGAGAGATCTGAAGCAGATAATAGGTTCAAAGGAAGCAAGAGCTCAGGAGAAAACTTATTGGAAAAGAAAGCTTTGTTGGGTTCTATGAAAGGTAGAGTCAGAAAACGGAGCAAATCTTTGCTCTTTGGAACATGCCTTTGCTGCAATACCGCCATGAATTGAACAAGTTCACATGAAAAAAGATTGATGATTTTGTGATTTTGATGATTTTGTTTTGTTATATTATTTTGGGAAATTGGGAGGAAACTAAATGAAAGTGT